GNTTCATCCCCCATTCCCCCCCACATACACATACACACACGCTCCCAACGATCCTGCAACCCCCCTCCGCACACCCCTCATCCCCTCACCCATCCTGAAAGCCACTCACAGCCTCTCCACCACCTTCAAGTGCCCCTGACCCGCAGCGCGGTGGAGGGGAGTGGCGCGCATACCCCGTGTCGCAGCATTGGGGTCAGCACCTAGCTTGATTGTGTTGCGTTTTTGGCGGGAAGAGGAGGGGACGGGGAGAATTTAAAAAGAAATACCACGACGGCGAAAGGCACAAGGTCAATCGCCGACTTTAAAAGCACCGACTGCCGACTGCTGAAGTCCCAAGGAATACGTGGGGGGAGGACGGGAAAGGGAACCGGGGATGCGTTGCCAAAGACGTCACGTCGACAATCAATCAAATTTTTTTGCGTTTTGCACATGGTATTCCTCGGATTGCTCGGAAATCTCCAGTATGCCGAACGGTCTCGGCTTCATATCCCCAACGCCGAGACCTACCACTCCGAAGCAGCAGTTCCACCGCCTCTAAGTGACCTCCACGCGCGGCGTAATGTAGGGGAGTATAGCTGCCACCTACAGGCGCCAGAAAGTCAAAACGATGGTGCACGATAAGGTAGGGTACGCGTGAGAGAAAATTGATAAAGGAGATATGAGCTCGTTCTTCAAGTATGGAGTTTGCTTGGGTTTAACCCTGCTGACCTGAGGCTCCATCTCCACCGGAGATTGCTGCAGGATTGCGTTGAAGAATCCTGCGCAGCTTTGCCACGTCGCCATCTTGAGCCGCGGCACAGGCGCTGCGGGAGAACTCCAGTTCATCTAGAGACTGCTCCATGCCGGTTGCTGACAGCGCACAAGTGCAGGCGTCGCGAGGGCCATGCTCACAAAAGGTTGCCCAGCCAGGCGTTCGGCCAAACATAATTGACGTGTAATCAGAGTACCGATACCGATATCGGCCAAAAAAACCTTGCCAAGGAGTCACAGGAGTACGTGCTGAGGGTAGCTGCACCTGTAACTGACGACAACGAGGTCCGATGCGTAATAGCCTCAATTCCGCGTGAAGTTTTACGCGTTTTAGAACTTCTTACAGCATGGGTTGCATGTACGTGATCCATGTTATCATCGGAGCATGGACAATTCTATGATTAACCACCCTAACGGCCATATGGATAGTCCCCATACGCAAGGATTTACGATGCGGCCGTTGCAGGGCTATATTTGGTCTACAGAGCCAACACAACATAAGCACGACCTGACCTTGAAAAACATGGCATATCTATAGCCTATCTATGCCATCTATGGTGAGCAAAGCGTAAGGCCCATTCGTCACATCGAAGGTTCAACCGAGGAGCAGCGGTCCTTGAGGGCATGTGCCCCCTTTCAGTATACAGGTCCGACTTTAAGCCTTTTATGTGATTTGTAAGATTGAAGGGACTTAGGAACATTTTGGAATGAAGGTGGTTTGACAGTAGGGCTACCTGTCTCAGTTCCGATATGTAACGCCTTTTCAGCGCAACTCGTTTGAATACAGGGATTCAGCTTACTTAGATTTGCACATGCTTACATTCAGCAAGGCCAAATAAGTTTAACCTGCCTTCCGCCCGGGTCAGGACATCGGAGGTTACCTTTCCTAGAATCACTTTCCATCCTCAGCAGCCATGCTATTCGATGTGTTCTAGGTGCCGTGCTCGGAATCTTCATACGCTTTCCTCACGGCGTTGCTCGCGTGGCGGACAGCTTCCTTTTCCACCCAGCTGATTTAGGCCGTTCTCCATGGGCGCGCTGGTTTCCTCAATTCTGGGCCCGGCCACTCCCGCCCAGCCGCTCCCTCCCCCTCCAAAGGTGGTTCTGGTGCCGCCCTTCTTCCAGCGAGATGTCCGAGGACTGTCCCGGTGAGAGCCCATCCCGCAAAACCCTGCCCAAAGTCAAAAGTAGTCCAAACTGCGAAATTGCGAAACCCTAAGTCCCGGAAATTGGAAGCCGTCGGCCCAATCCCCCCAGCTAAAACTGGAGTCGAAGTCAAATGCCGAATCCAACCCTGACCCACCCACTACTAGCCTCTTGAGGAGACTGTTGCGTTCGTGCTTGTGCTCTCCCCTCCACTTCACAAACTAGTGTTTCTGTGCTCCTGCCTCCCTTAACCGTATTCTCATGACTCTGCCGAATCTGACGTGCTTGCTGACCGTGCTTGGAATGATTGAAACGGGAGAAAAACCAGCTGCCAAGGGCCCAGGGAAATTTACATTGAGTGAAAGGCAGAATGCCTGTAACGGGGGAGCTGAAGTGCGTTATACTGGCCACTCAAATACGGTTGTACGACAGTCGTACCAGAACCTAACAGACTTAAGAGGCTCCAATCGCTTCGCTCCTGAGATCGCATCTAAGTCAACAATTAGCCGCGGCCTGGCAACTCCTGTGTCACCTCTCTTCCACCCGCCAGCAGCTCCCCATCCTCCTCAACCGCCAACGCCACAACATTGCCATCGCCACCCCGCCGCCAAGCACACCCTCTCTCGCGCGAACAGCCTAAGTCCTTCACCCCCCCACGGAACGCGCCCTTCTCCCCCCCCCCACTAACCCCCCCAAATTACAACCACCAACGGCCCCCAACGGCCCCCAACAACTGCAACCCCCCGATGATGGCTGTGTACGATGTACGCAGCTTCTGTCGTTCCTCGTACGACTACCTTGGCAATCGCAAGCAGCTGTCTCGCTTGCTCCGAGACCACCTGTCTTCGGATCTCTGCGGGCGGCTGCTGCTCTCCCCTCCGGACGACCCACGGGTCAGTGTACGAGCCAAGTTGCGACACGCAGGCGGTGAGGGCTGCTGGTAGTTGGATATGTGGTTTAAACTGCTGGTGTTGTAGTACAGATAATTAGTCAGTGGCGTGTGTGGGGGGAGAGGAGGAGGAGGGGGGAAAGGGGGGGGAGAGGAGACACATGTATATACACCTCTTGTGTGTATATATATGTATATATACATATATATGTTATATATATGTTATATATATCATATATATACATATATATATATATCACTCGCTGCGGCCAACACCTCCACATACCGCCTGCTTCGCACGTGCCTGCGTGTGAACGGGTCTGTTCTAGGGTACCCCTCACGTCAACACACACACACACACACACACACATACACACACATACACACACATACACACACACACACACACTTGCAGACATACCACACTCCCAACCAAAAACACGTTTCCAAACGCCCCTTCCTCCCATACCCCCCCCCCCGCTGGGGCCCCGTGGAACCACTGTGCGCCCGGGAAGCCGGGACGTAAACCTATCCAATTGGGTTTTGTGACCCGAGCCCCGTCGTACTAGTAATAGTACGACATACACACTTAGCCCCCCTTTCCCCCCTCCCCGCCCCGGGAACACTTCCCCATCAAGATGAAGGATGTGGACACGCCGTACTTCGGCCAGGGGGGGGTTACCGGGGAGCTCTGTGCCACCGTACATTCCACACATACATCATTGCTGTACTACATGTGCTGTTGTGAATATGAGTTATAAATACACCGATACACCTGGACCACTCCTGAAGCCCTGTCCTGTCGTACGATGCAAGGATCTGGATCCCAAACACCATGGGGAACCAATCCCTGCTACCCCCTAGCTAGCCGCCCTGAGCGCGGGTTCCCCCCCCGCCCCCCTCGCCCCCCGCCTAGGCTCTATGGTTCTTCGTTGGCAGCCGGCAACCGCCACTGCCGTACACACCTTTTTGGAGATGGCCGCCAACCTAAATGTGAGGGAGGGGGGAGGTGTGAGTGTGAGGAGGGGGGGTTAATG